TGTCTGTGAGTGTATGTGTGTGTGAGTGTGTGTCTGTGTGAGTGTGTGTGTGTCTGAATGTGTCTGTGAGTGTGTGTGTGTACGCATATATATATATATATATATATACACACACACACACACACACACAGAGCCGGCACTATCTGAGTGCCGGCTCTGCTCTAAGCCTCCATGGGCTGGTGGGGAGACCAAAGATCTACCTCACTGGCCCACAGCAGCATGGAGGGAGGCAGGAGAGGACCCAGGGAGCTCTAGACAGAAGCTCCGCCAGGTTCCTCTCGCGATATCTGAGCGTTGCCGGCAACGCAGATCTCGCGAGAGTTAACTCTAGCCCTGCAGGCTAGAGTTCACTCTCCACTGGACCACCAGGGATGGCACATGGCAGCAAGGATTTACTAATCTGCCAAATCCCTCCAAACATACAGCACATACACATACAGCACCTACACACATACTGCTCACACACACACAGTACACTAACCACACCCTCACAAACACACACAGCACCTTTAAAAAAATACAACACCCTCACACACAGCACACTAACAGCACCCTCACAAACACACACACAAACAGCACCCTCACAAAAACACGACACTCACACAAACAGCACCCTAACAGGACAAACATACACACACAAACACCCTCACACACAAACAGCACAGTCACACACACACACACAAACACCCTCACATCACACTAACAGCACCCTCACACACACATCACACTAACAGCACACAGCACACTAACAGCACACACAGCAGTGTATGTGTGTGTGTATATATATATATATATATATATATATATATACATATATAGATACATACACACACACACACACACACACGCGGCGTGTGTTTGTGGTTTAGGGTGCACACCCTAATGCAATAGGCTGCGCACGCCTATGAATACTGCTTAAGTGAAAAGGTTGTGTATATGTATAAAAAATAATAATTTAATTTCTTTTAATGCTCCCATGCATCAAGGAGATTTACAGTGAGCATCAAATATTCGGATTGATTCTTGCATTTTTTTTCTTTTCTTGTAAATTATTCTGAAACCCTGGCTGAAATCATACTGTTTAAAATGCATCATATCTGGTCAGACTTTACTGGCCTTATCTCATTAAGCCATCAGTCTGTTTGTGTTCATCAACCACTTCCTGAAGTTTTAGCAACAAATTGTGCTCATTTCTTCCTGCCAATGGCTCCAGGAATTAATGTCATTAAAGTAATTGGGCTTTAACAACACTTGTGTAATGAATTGGGTTGTTATTCCGTCTGGTGCATTGAAGCTAATGTAGGAACACAGCCTTGTTTTTATTATTCATCCAATCTTCCTGAACACCTGCAGATCTCACATGAGTAGCTTCTGTTTGCATTTCCAGGTCCTTATTTAATTAGATCCATGTTGAAGCAGCAAGGATTTCATTCCAGAAATGACTCTGTAAACTGAATTATAGATTGCTCAGTCTAATACCAAATAGTTCCACATGGATTACTATGTAATATTATCGGGAAATTGGACTGTCATGTCATTTATTGGGTGTCAATATCAAGCAATTAAAGAGAACTCACATTATAGGCAAATGATGGTTTGAATTAAATAAAAAGTAATATTATTATTAATTATTTAGTTTCAAAATCTCATCTGACAGAATGCATTGTTTGCTAAAAGTAGTAGTAACGTCATTTCAAATATGGTAAGATCACCCCGAAGAGAGTTGAGTCACCATCTACATTGGAGCAATTGGCATAAGTATTCTGCTTGGAGAGGAAGGATGTATCTATGCACCTGAAAACAATGTTTTGGGGAGTATCATCGGTACTTGTGAATATTCCATTAATGCCCCAAAATCACACCTCCCAAGTATCCCTAGTTAGGAGGGACAGTCCCTATTTTGAGCCCAATTCTCTCTGCCCCTCTTTTCTATCCTAATGCCCCCTTTTTCTAGGAGTTCCATATTGTTGGGGAGTCGGAGTGTATAACAGCAATGTGTCTTTAAACTACCATAAATTTGTTTAGAAATCTGTCTGAGTAAATTGAATACATTGTTCTTGTTCTAAACTGCATTTTAGTTGTATACTTTGCTATTAGTAAAAAACTTAAAATTTCTCAGGGTAAACCCCACCCCTGGGCACACCCTCTCACACCCTTAAAATGAAAGTGCCCGTCTTTGTCCATTGACATGTTGGGAGGTATGGATTATTGTGAGGTTAATGTAGCATTCTGCACCATGAATCAGAATGGCTTACATGGAGCTGGGCAAAAGGTAGATTCTCAAATGTAGAACTGTAAATATGATTTTCCAGCCTTTAGAATGGCAAACATCATGGAAGTTAAAGTTCTAAATCTAAATTGGTCTATCCATTGGGCAGCCCTGTTTATTAGCACTGACAGTGATATGACACAGAATGTATCTGCAGGAAAACCAAAGAAGGTTTGGACACATAATTTATTTTTTAGTATATGTGTTTTAAATAGTTATCTTTACCGTTTTTCTTGGAAAAATAAATGTTGAAAACCTTTATATTTTTTAAAACTCTTTATTTTTCAAGCATTTTACAGTTAAACGAATTAATTACCTGAAAATAATTAATTACATAGGCTAAAAAAAGAAATAAAAAATATATTCAACTGTATTTTCTACAGCAAGGGTGCCCAAAAGGTAGATCCCCAAAAAGTGTAAAAATACAACTCCCATGATGCTTTTCATGTCTTTAGAATGCTTTGAAATGACAAAGAATGAGTCATGGGAACTGTACTGTTCTACAACATTCAGGGATCTAACTTTTGAACACCCCTGGACAACAGTGTACTGCACATCCTATGTGTACTGCACATCTTATTCATCGTGTTCAACATCTGCATGAACAGGATTAAGTAGATTCTCTTTAAAAACAAACAAAGAAAAAACTGAAAAACTCAACTTGGGAAAAAAAGAGTTTAAAAAGCTATTAGTTAAAGGGCCACTATAGTCACCAGAAAAAATACAGCTTATTGTATTTGTTATGGTGAGTATAATCATTCCCTTCAGGATGTTTGCAGTAAATACTATTTTCATAGAAAAGAAAGTGTTCACATTACAGCCTAGGGATACCTCCACTAGCCACTCCACAGATGGGTACTAGAGGTGCTTCCTGGGGCAGTGCAGCACTGACATTCAGTGCCTCCACCCTCTGCATGGAGACACTGAACTTTCCTCATAGAGTTGTATTTATTCAATGAATCTCTGAGGAATAAGATGCTTATTGGCCAGGGGTATGTTTGGCTTGTGCTGGTTCTGCCCCTGATCTGCCTCCTTGACAGTCTCAAGGGAAAGCATTGTGATTAGCTGAGATCACAACTTATGATGATGTCAACCAAGCAGGCAAATCAGGGGAAGAGCCAGCAGCAGACTGAAATAAAGGTAAAAATTTACTATATTTAATGGGACAAAGTAGGGGGGTGGAGATAGAGGGCTAGATAGTGTTTTAACACTAGAGGGTCAGGAATACATGCTTTTGTTCCTGACCCTATAGTGTTCTTTAACCCCTTAAGGACCAAACTTCTGGAATAAAAGGGAATCGTGACATGTCACACATGTCATGTGTCCTTAAGGGGTTAAAGAGGGTGATGAAATGTGACAGGTGGGGACTTAAGAGAGGTTCAAAACTCCCATGTAGTAACATGGGAGTCATATTGACGCCCATAGGCTTATCAAATATATATATTATTTTACTCCTTTCTTAAAATGGCAGCTCTCTAATCAGGTCACGATTCAGTTTCAAATATTTTTTTTTACATAGTCCGAATCCTATGCTTCATATAGACTTTGGAAGCGAATAAGCACTGATTCTAGACCAGACAGAGAACGCTTCTGACCGAATGATCCCTATTCAGTTGGATCGACTGACTTGGTGCTAATAAATATGAGAATTGCCATTCTAGTTGAAATTTTGTTATTTTCACAGAATCTTGTCCATTCTTAAGTGAATAGCCCTGTAAATTCTTCTAATGATACTCTAATACTAGCACTTTACTTATCTTGCCAGTCTAATTTTTAATACTGTCAGGGTTATTTAATTAAGTTTGCATTGTCGGAATTATAAGTAAATTCAAAGTGCACGTTAGACATAAGGCCAAAACTTTAGCTAACTTGGAGATATTTTTCCAGTTTGGGTACTTCGGCTTTAAACTTGAAAGGCACTAAGAATTAACTTTGAATCCCTGAAAATTCACACTTTGATAAATAACCTTGACTGGCAACATTTTTCCAGTTCGGCTTAACTGGTATAACATTTGAAAATCATTTTGAATTGACTATTAATTACCCATAATTATCATTTTATCAAATAACCCTATGTGTCTTTTTTGACAGCAGTTTAATGACAATAAGAAAGTATGATGTTCTCCTATTTATTGGTTTAAAAATATATCTATTTTAATAATCCATAGCTATTTCTTTGAATTTGCACATTATAAGATGATATCTACAAGATAATTGCAGTTTTTCTTTAAGATGTTTTAATATTTCAAATCATTTTGTATAATTTATAATATTTGATTAGGTAGCCCCTTTTTATTCAAGAGTGTAATTAACATCCTGACAGGTCCCGATGGGTGTTTGAAGCTGTGCATTTTAGTCTATGAAGTTCTCCTTTGTTTGTGCTTCTGATTCTTTTCTCTAAACACATGAAAAATGTTTGTGGAACTATGTAAAATCTTTAATATGTCCTTTTGAATTGTGTTTGCCTGTTTTAACTTGCATATTTGCACACAAAAAAAACGAATCACAATTTAAATAAATCAGTAGGCGTTAGATAAGCCTCAATGACAGTACATTTCAAATTATATATAATTTCTATGTTACACTGATGTAGACAAACCTATAATGTCATTCAGCCGGCTGAAGAGTCAATTATATTGTGTAGAATGATTGATTGACAGTGGTCTTTAGTGTATTTGTCAACGGTTTAGTGATACGGACTGTTAGTAATTAGCTGTCATCCAGGAGTGTAAACAATTAAATGTGAGATTTCTGTGGATAGATTACCTAAATAAACTGTAACAAGAAACAATAGTATGATAGATTGTAACCATTCTAATTTTTCTAACGTGGAAAGGTCTATCATGATTTAAAAAAAATAATCCTTAAAGGGACAATATAGTCACCTGAACAATTACAGCATAATGTAGTTGTCCTGGTGAGTATAGTCAGTCCATGCAGGCAGTGTTTACAATGCTGCCTAGGGACTCTTCCAGTGGCAGTCAGGCAGAGGGCCACTAGAGGTGATTCCTGAGTCAGTGCTACACAATACACCGATGTTCAGCATCTCCACGCTCTGCATGGAGACACTGAACTGTTACCATAGAGATTCACTGAGTCAATAAATCTCTATGAGGAGATGCTGATTGGCACAGTGTGGCGTTATACTGCGCATGTGCAATAGCCTACCAATGCTTTCCCATTCTGATGATCTCAGCCAAGGGGGTGGATTGAGGGTGGAGACAGCGTCGGCAGACCTGCACTGTGCTTGAAAAAAAGGTATGTTTTCTACTTATTTAAGGGTGGCAGGGAGCGGCTGAATGTTAAATTGTTAAATAGTGATTTCAATACTATAGGTTTGTATTTCTGTCCCTATATTGTTCTTTTATCATTATGTTTCATACTCTGTATCAAATTTTACTCCTTAAATAAAGAATTAGGAATAATACTTGAACTGTAATGAATGATATAAAATTCTTTTTTTATAATTATGTTTTCTGCTTTTGTTAATTTTGAAATTATTCAAACAGTAACATATTATTTTATTTTGGAAATACAACAAGCCCACCAACTGTAATAACATACTTATCTATGTTGTTATTTATGAAATATG